TGGTTTTAGTAATTTCTTTCCTTGCCAAAGACTGAATAATCTTACGTTGAGTTCCAAGTTCTGCAGCAGAGTGTACTCTACTGGTTGTCAATTATTTTTATACTCTGCTTCTGACCTGCATTCCTGATCTTAGCTTCTGGGTTTTTTTAAAACAGCCTTTGGTAGCAGTAGGAAAATGGCAGGGAAAGTTTTGTTTGGTCTCTGAACTCTAGGATGGAGCCTGCTCAATCCCTGTAGGAGCAGCCCAATCCAGCTACTGTAAAGAAGCTGAGAGGGGCTGAAGCATTCTCAAAGCAGATCGAATCTTTGGCAGATTACACAACCAAACTAACAAGTTCTCCACCAAGCTTATGTAAAGTGTATTTCTTCCAAGGCTTATACCAGGTACAAATTTTAAGGAATCTTAACAGATAGGGCAAAAGAGGTATGCTGAGAACCAAGAATCATTGGTGTCCCAATTTTGATTCACTCCTTCAGTGTCTGGAGATGCTAAAGCTATCTTGTTTTCTTCCTGCAAAAATCTCATGTTTCAGATACCTCTGATCTATACCAGGACAAATCTGAGACTGAAAAGAAAAAGGCAGTCAGACTCGTGGTTCAAAACACTGAGGAATAGATGTAATAGTTATTAGAGGTGTTAACTGAAATATTTGCAAGAAGAGTCCAGTTCTTTGCCTGAGTCAGGTTAGAACATGCGTTTCTCACTAACCAGATGAGTGTCCTAAGCAGCACATATTGGCTATCCTGCACTGAACTTCTTAATTCTTCTCTGTTTTTTGGCATTCTGGATATCTTACTGATAAAAAGTGTATCACAGTGCTGCATTCTGACAAAATATCTTGATTCTAATAGATCTGTCAGTTTTCAACAGTAAAAAAAGAATTTTAAAAAGTCATAATAACCTCTGCTTTGTAAACTCCACCTTTCCATATTCACTGTTTTTTTCCTTTTAAATGTATTAGTGTGGTATTCCTCAGAGTGCAGTGGAAAAATGCAAATTCAATCACACTTCTGACAAGTAGAATATAAAAAGATTCCCATTTTGGACTCTATATGGACACAGCCTCTATGAACAAAATCAACACAAGTTTTCCATTAAAGTCATTGGAAGTTGGATCAGGTCTCAGCTTTCACCATACTAAAGCATTTAATCAAACTGAATAAACCAGAAGAAAATATAACACATGAATAGTACCCAATTTTTTTCCTCCAACAAAAATGTCTTTTTTCATATAGCTGTAACTGGTATTTTAAAAGCTATTTTCTCAGTCTTCTTTCTACATGGCAAAACTTCCACTACAGCAATGGGATGTTAAATGTGAATTGCAAAAGGGATTGGGACTTTTTTCTTTCACTCTCCCTCTCCCAGTCAAGACTAGCCAACTCCTCATTAACATATGCTATATATAAGATTTCTAAGGGTTTTCTAAAGACTGCAGTTTCTGTGTTTCTCTTGCAGTTACAGCACAGAATCTTGGACTGATGCCTAGAACAGACCAAAGATGTGTATCTCTCAGCATGCTCTGTCATGTGCTATCGGTTATAAAGCTTGCAATCGTTATACAGCTGGATTGTTGCCTTAAGCACACTTTGCCATTCAAGGAGAAGGTTCTTGCCATTCAAGGAGAAGGTTTAAACAAAACAAAACCTTTGTTCTCCTAGGAAAGTTCGATGAGAACGTCAGCATGACAAAGTAAGCTGGGAATATTTTCTTAAGATCTTACGATTAGTATAACTTTTGTTTCTGGTAATGTCTGGTTATCTGCATGGAATACTTTACAATCGTTAATCTCTCTAGGCATTGGTTTACTCTCTATTTAAAAAAAAAAAAAAGTGATATTAATTTTTTGGTCTTTTAAAATTTTTTTTTCCCTCGAATGTGCTGAGTTCTCAAATGAGAAGAGTTCACAGGTGAAACAAACAGAACACAATAAGTAGGAAATAACACTGTCAAAAGACAAAGAATCCTTAAAAAAATCAACTGATACCAATTGTTTCCTGCCACAATACAGTAAGCATTCCAGTGCAAAAATATTCCAGTGCTGTTATGCACAGATCTTTATCTGTCCCTGAACAGACACTATACAGGAGAACAGAGTCCTTAGAGAAAAATTATTTCTGAAAAGCCATACTAAAGGTCAATATCAGGATTAGGAAAACATTTAGATCTTTCATCAGGCAAATGTCCTTTTCAGGGGACAATATCTATCTGTACCTTCTCACATCTACTGCAGAATTATCTGGTATTGAGCACATTTCTGAAGAGTTAGGAAACTGTGCAGATAGATGTTTTGCTTTACAATATACAATTATAAAAATGGAAAACTAGAAGTTTTTTGTTAGCTTTAATTGTCTCTTATATTTATGTACATACTGAAAGTAAGTTTACAGTGCTGCTTTTTTATGGAAAGCATATCTGTAGAAATGCTCAACAGAATACGAAACTCTGTATATTCCTTCAAAAACTGACATTAATGGAGCTTTATAACACAAATGTTAAAATGTCAGAAATACCTGAAACTCAAAATCATGTATCCCAGCTCTGCCCTTCTGAACATTTTGTAGGCAGTAACCTGTATGTACTGCTGAGTAGATGCTGAAATGTATCCTTTCATCCATAACTTTGCAATAGCAAGTTTCCTATACTAAATTTACTTTGTATTTTAAAAGTTTAAAAGTTGAATGATTGCCTATTAAAGTCAATACTACAGAATCTCAGCTCCTGTGGAGAAGGAAATCTTAAAGGCTTGTGTTCAGTATACAACCAATTCAAACATGAACACTGTAATGACATTAGAGATTACGTTTTTATCATTCAAATTTCTACTGTGAATCTTTAAGGGAAAGGAGTGATTTTATAAAAGACATAATTATAACTGCTTTTGAAGTGAGTTATGATCACAGTCTACTAAGACGGTGGATAAGTATTTGACTGTAGGACCAGAATTTTAAGATGTGTGGCAAATCTATCTGCAAACAATAGCTTTTTCATTGGACAGCATCAAAAGCCTGCTACGTTTTTCCATTGTGGTTTATCTCTGCCATTGCCCACCTAGCACTTTAAAATTTATCCTCTTAACTATCACTAAAACTTGAATACAAATTCTGCTCAAACTATGTTTGTGTATATATAATGTAGATATTCATCACTATGACAATGAAGGAAGTTTTTTTGAAAGCTGGAAATAGCAAAAAAAATCATTTGTGTATTTGATCCTAATTCAAGGAAAGCTATGGAGTAATGCCATTATCCTGCTCACGTCTGACACCTGCAACCTTCCATGAGTTCACTCGTCCCGCTCACTTCTTCAGGCACTATGTATGTCTCTTCATGATTCTTTGACTATTGTGGAGTCTCTCCTAGGTGCTAGTATCCCATGCGAAGTCACTGCATCATTTAGTAAGACAGATGTTTGTGTGCATTTATTCTGAGGCAGGAACCTCATCAAGAGGAGAGGAAATAATTCAAGTTCCCAAACATTGGCAATCTCATAATTTCATTTGTTTCTTAAAGTTGTTTCTTTCCATACATGGCCCATACCATTGAAAAAGAACCAGCTTGGATAATCTGTGTAATTCTACCAAATAGGAATAGACGGGTAATATAGCACTGAAAAGAACACGTCTATACTAAGTGTTCTCTGCAATAAATTTCAAAGTCTTCAGATATGAGTGTTGCTTAAAGTTCTGTAAAAAAAATCCACAACCTTCATGTAAGAAAAAGCAAACTGTTACATGATTGAAGATCACAAAGCTGGATGAAATGTTTGGATTTTTCTAAAAATTAATAAGTGATCTAGAATAAAATTGACCTTCAGCCAATGATCATATCTGAGAAATTTCAGCTATGAAGGCAAAAGTTTGACAAAGTCATAAATAACTGAAAAGGACAGAAAAAACATTAAGAAAACTATAACATCACTACGCTTTCTATCTGGAATACCATTGCTAGTACTGTTATAATGCAGTAGAGATAACAGAATAAGGTGATCTATGGAACAACAATCTGTTATTAATAAAGAGGAAAAACATCATGAAGAGTGGAGATGAGATCATGGATCATCCCAAAGACCACCTACTGAAGAAAAAGACAAAGAGGAAAAGAAAGCCTGTTTTAGCCAGCTTCAGTTTCTTACTGGACCTACCCTTGAACCACTGACATCAGTTTCCAAATACCCAGTTTTACTGGCGAATTACTCAGCAGAGTGTGACATGATCAGTGATCTGAAAGTTTTCAGCTGGTTGTACTGATCAAATATATAAACAAAACACAATTGTCAGCTGCTCTGGGTTTACTGCTGAGGAAATGATGTTTTAAACCATAAATGAATTAATGCTTGAACATAGAAAAAGCCTAACTGATATAAAAGACTAAAAATGTTTAGTGCTCAATTAATTTATAATTTGCCTTATAACTGATTTTTTAAATTGTTTGCCTGGCAAAACAGAGGTGTGAACTATAATTACCAGCTGCCTATAATAGCTCATTTTTTGGATTTCTGTTAATTATTTCTACAGTGAAGGAAGCATGATCACTGAGGATGCCAAACTTTCTTCAAATTATTGGTGCTAAAAAAATAAATATCAGAAAATGCCAATTATTACAAAATGTGAATGTTGATTACTTTTTGTAAAAAAAGGCAGGTGAACAAATGGTATGAAATGCTGAGGCAGGGCTGGGGCACACAAAGGAATTACGGTAAACTAATGAGCTTCCAGGTGTCGGCTGAGCTTGGGTAACTAACAATATTTGCACTCTTAGCCTCAAGCAAATCTGAAGCAAAATGTGTTAGATAAATCTTCAGGGAGAGCACCCTCTGTTAGCAGGATCAGCCCTAAACAAAAGCCAAGTCTGCAATGATGCACCACTTCATGAAGAACAACCTACCTCATTCCTCTTTGTCCTGATCTGAGAATAGGAATTATTTCAACTTTTAAAGGCAGCAATTTAATTTCTCTCTGACAGCAACAAAATGATCCAAGACTCAGTATTATCTCACCTTTTCAGAGCTAGTATCTATAAAACAAGTGCTGCTTTCAAAAAGAGACTTGGAGTCAAATTCCATATCGGTCTCACTGGAAAATGTAATTTATGCCTTGCTTAGCCAGGTAAGATGGGAGGCAATCTAGCTGTTAGAAAATAAGGTCCTGAGTTAAAGAAAATGGAAGGGGAGAGAATTAAGCATGAAAAGAACGCTTTTGAAAGAAAGGGTGAAAACTGAGAGATTAATTTACTGTTAGTTCCATTTTATCTCCTGTAAGTACATTTTTTAATTCTTTAAATCAAAGTTCTTCTGCTCTATGCATATTGCCATTATTTCCCTGGAATTGAAAATGTCTGTTTTGTTCAGCAAGTGCATGTTAGAAATCTCGGGCTATTAAAAGATGGTGGCAATGTTAACTATTATATAAAGGATTAAATCTTAACTAAGTAGTATTAAAAAGTGACTCTATAAACCTTTAGGTTATTGGTACTTTCAAAGAAAAGAAGACCAATATGAAGGATTAATAGTTAAGGTTATGCAAAATCCACTTAATCAGCATGGCTAATTTTAGCTTTAACTAAAGCTGCTGGCAACTATGTGCATTTTGCTTTGGGGCTTTACTTTTGAAGAGAGTGATGAATACATTTTTGAGGTAAATTTATCTTAACTGAGAGTCTACCTAATGCTCTTTAATTGCTGAAAAAGTGATTTTAATAGCATTTGAATTTAGGAGAGGAAGGAGGTCTTCAGCTGTGCATCTTTAAGACCCTAAAATAAGCATTTTATTTTCACATTTATATAATATACTGCTTGACTATAAAACAGGTGAGTTTTATAAACAATACAGTCATCAACATGGGCATTGTTTATGAAGAAAGAATTGTTCTCCTGACAGTACATACCCTATTCAGAAAAGAGCCTAGGAAAATTGGACCTTACTCTGAAGATATGAATACAATGACTTGCCAGACTATCTGGAGCACAAATGCTCAGGATGAGGGTCTTTCATTGACAAATGCTACCTAAGCATGGCAGATGTACAGAGTGTCAGCTCAAACACCCAAGGCGTTTTAAGTCAGAAATATAAACTTGCTAATACTTAGAGTTCTTTTACCAAGCTCCAAAATCACAAAGGATTAGATCATTCACTGTGAAGTGGATTAGATATGGTTATGGTCCTAGTTAAAACAAAATCATATGAACACTAAGTTTCCTGTCTGGTGAGAGTCAGATAAAATCTGACTGCATCTCAGACTGGTGGAGTAAGGTGTGGAGAAAGCAAGAGGGTGGGCATTTGTTGAACTCAGCTTTCACAAGATTGTGAAAATCTTGTGGGAGGAGCTACCCTTTATATTACAAAAATTAAGAGCCATGCTCATCATTCCAAAGTGGATTACAAAGGGCTTTTCCTAGTGGGAAAAGTGAGTAAACCTGATAAAATTAGACTATTGATTTACAATGGTGTTACTGCAGTTGGAGGCCCAAGTGAAATTCGGACAAGTACGTCTATGTTAGCACACTGCTATTATACAAACAAGGTAATGCTATGTTAAAATGTATGTCTAGATCCTAGCATGCTAGTATAGGATAATTTAATTTATCATAAGCTGAAGTCTCTTTAGGAACCTTCAATACTATCTTTTTTTTCCTATGTCATGAATAAATTAATTGTAATTCATGCAGCTTTGCCTCCATATGCCTGCTGTCATGGCCTGAGAAAGTCATCTGAACTTCCCATTTCTCTTAGGATTTTCACTACTAGTGCTTTTTCAGTGGAACCTGTTTATCAGGTAGGATCATAAGGTGTAATACACTGCATTGGACTCAGTGCATTGACCTATGTGAGTATTCCGTATGTGGCAATGGTCAGCACAAGATGCTTCAGAAGGCGGCACACGAACCTCCAGTGAGCAAATGAACTTTCTCTCAGTCTAAACTAATGGCGGGAGGAGGCTTAGGCCCTGTGGACCAAAGCTGACAATTGCATGTAATTAAGTCTGTTCACTCTATGTAAAATTAAGCAAAGTCAGTAACTGAACAAAAAGACACTTTAAGGAAACAGGGAATCTCAACAGGAAGTCGGGAGTGATGCCCTTTCTTCCAGCAATAAATTTATGCTGTAATCAAGGTTGTGATTAGCTCTGCCCACTTACAGAGGTTAGAGTTTCAGCTAACTAGTTTAAGTGTTGTTAGTGCTGTTATTGTGCTAGCAATTGTGCTTAGCAATCCACTAAAGATTGACATAAATATTTGGATGGCAAGCTTGCACTGATCTTGGTGCTGCCATGGCTGTATGGCTATCTACAACTCTGTTACAGATTGCCTCTGCTACAGCTAGTATCTGCAAAAGACGATTTTCTAGGGTTTTTTTTCTGAGTGCAGCATAGATGTCTTGAGAGCCTTGCATGTCTTAGATATATGACCCACAAGAGTATTAAATCATGGTTATGTTAGAAATGCTTTCTTCCAGATTGCAAATGGCAATTAGATATACCATACTTAATGAAACTGAGATAATACATATTGTACTACTTCCCTTGGGTAAATGTCATCCAGTAATACAATTCTGCCTGTTTAAAATCTTCTTGTTCCTGCCATGTAGTCTTACACATATATTGTCTTTGATTCTTGGTTTAGACCATTGCATACTTGACAACCGCATGGTACTCTTTGCTACACCTCAGAAGAAGCTGTATCTCTTTGATGAAAAAAATTATTGGTAGAGATTTGTGGGAGGTAGAGACATTGAAAATAAATTATGCTAATAGTTCACTTAAAAATCTTCCAAGTTTTAGCTTTTCTGTTTCTCATTGTAGACTGGCACTTTGATAATAGTAATTACTAGCAATAAGCATTTGAGCCTGAAATTTCATATTCAGCTGTAATTCAAATTTCTTCACCTTCAGGGTATCACACAACCCCCATCACCTTAAGCAGTTATTTTGTTTGCTGGAGGCATTCAGAAAGGACATATGTATAGTCATCTTAACATTTGTTATCTTGTTTTGTATTCTTACTTATTTCATGTGGCCAAATGCATTTCTATGGGGTAGAGCTGAAAAACACTTTAAAACTCTTTGAGAACTATTAATCTGTGTGTGTTTGTACACACATGTTTATACTACAGCTTCTCAATTAAAAAGGAAAAAAGCATCCTTCTATATCTTCTAGGAAACATTTGTAAAAATGTATTTTGAGCTATAAGCTCTGATCAGACCTCCCTAAATCAGATGTTGTAGGGGTTTTTTAAGTCAAATTATTGTTACTTATGAATAAACTTGTTTAGGTACGCTACAACAAATGATTTTAGTTCTAGAGTAGAAAGTTAAGTATTTAAATTCATTATAACTTACAAGGAAGAATGGTAAACTTTAGAGCCCATGTAATCCTCTGTACTCTTCACTGTGTTGCTTCAAAACACCAATGTCTAAAACAGGCTGGCAATTAGCTGGAATGTAAAAATTGGGACATTAGATAGGGTGTACTGTTCCCAGCAACTTCTGTAAAAAGTGTCTGGCAGACTACTTCCTCAGAAAGAGGTACTGCTGTGTGTGGGCTTCCTAAGTGGCAGAGTATTCAGAAATCATGGTAGCCTCTGAATTGGTCGTTGAAGTTTTACAATGCCCTTACTGCCTGGTGAGACTAATTTAATATATGTCATGTCTTCTGTTTTGACACTGCAGCACCAACTCTAGCCATGTGCATCTCCAGCAACAGCAACCCCACAGTCACTCTTGTTTACTGTCTAGTCTGCTCATTGTGAACTAAATTTCCCCTTTGTAAGTTGCCTGTATCCTTTATTTTGTTCTGAGCAACATCGTGGTTTAACCCCAGCCAGCTAAAACCCACATCTAAGTTGAGCTATGTAAGATGTGTGATCGTCTAAGGTGGTTTTGATCTCCTCTCAGTTACCAGCTCAACTGTTCATAAAGTTTCTCAGTGTTTGATTTCTTTACCTGTGTATTCATTTTATGCTGGTTCCATTTAACCCAACTTTATTTAGCTTCTTTCTGAGAATGCCATGTGCAACCAGTATGAGTGTCTTACCAACAATAAGAAATTCTGTGTCTAAACCAGTTAAAGCCCAGGTTTAACCCCAGAACTAAGCGCCACACAGCTGTTTGCTCACTCCACCTTCCTCCCCCCCC